GGCACTACGAGGTACCTTCCATGCTGGCCATTGGTCCCACATGTCAATCACTCTCTCTCCTTCCTCCTCCTAGCGCCTGCTTAGTGGGCCAAACGGAAAGCTTCTCGCGGCCTACTCCGAGAAGCCAAAAAGCCCGTGCGAGGGAGCTTTTCCGCAGCGCCCCGCATCGGCCCCGGCCGCCTCACTCGCGCCGCTCCTCGCTCCACCCTCCGGCCTCCGCCGCCTCGCGCTGCCTACCGCCCCCTCGCACCGACCCCCTCACCCTCCCCCGCCCCCTCGCTTCCGGGCCCCTTTGTCCTCTCTCTGCTCGCCGCCTCTTGCGCTGCTTTCCATTCTTTCCTCACATCCTGCGGAAGAGGGGAGAGGCGAGAGCGAGAGGCTCGACCGCATCCAGGGGTGGGGCTCGGTATGGGGGGAGGCGAATGCGCCCTGGGAGACGCCGCTATAGGCGAGGAAACCCTAAACTACGACGGCGATGACGTCGAGATGGCCGACGCGGACTCGGACACGGAGGAAGCCCTAGCAGCTGAGGTCTCCGCTGCAACTGGAGGAGCCGCCGGTGGTGGCGGGCACGCGGAGAAGGACGGACAGGAGGGAAAGAAGAAGAGGAAGAAGAAGAGGAACAAAGGGAAGAAGAACAAAGGGAGGCAGGATGGGGCTCCAACCACCATCGCTGACATTAATCGGTAAAAACCCTTGTACTACTCACCTAGGGTTTTGTGTTTTGGGCTATGTACGAATTGAGGATGCAAACTTTGGTTGGATACCGACTGGTAGTATTTTGTTTATGGCTATCGGGGTTCATATAGCACTGGAAGAATTTGTTCATGCCTTGGACATTTCGAAATAAAAACTGTTAAGGCCTGTTTGGATCCCTAGATTCGAAACCCATTCTTGGAATTAGATTCTAGGTATTAGATTAGACTCAACAAGAAAAGAATTTAGAATTACTCAGATATTTATTCAATTCAATTTTCTTGTTTGGATGTACATGGAATCCTTTTCTAAGAATCAATTGCAAATGTTGTTTGGATGATTGGAAATATGGAATATCCAAATGCAGCTGCTCTGTGTACACAACAAGATCGATATCACTATCGCTCACAGAAAACTCAACCTCTCACTACCCAATCTTCTCTCTGCAAATAACAAGTATGAATGGATGATATCTTTCTGCACACAATGTCAGAGAGCATGATGTGGCCATCTTCCCTCACGAGGATGAGCATGACATGGTTGTCTTCTGGCTTTAGGTCTCTGTAGACCACTCCAAGCATATGCAGGTACTCCATCACAAGGGGCACTTCTTTTGCATAAAACATGCCAAAAATGAAAAGAAAGACACACAATAGAACCTTCCAAAAATGTGTCTATCCTAATTTAGGCATCAAGTTCCACAGCATTATATGCAGCTCTCCTGTATGTTCGAGAAAAAATAAAAAGAATATGCTGTAGGTTGTTGTGCCTTATGTTACATGGCAACACTTCTTTTGATCTGAAGAGGTAGAGTTTAGCTTTTGAGATGTCTTCTTGGCAAACTGTTTTGTTTGATAAACAACTTGTAGTTATTTGAATCGTGATCGATTTTTTTATCATGTATTGATATTCAAAATGAAGGGCGGGCCTAGTGCAAGCGGTAGAGTCTCACCGCCTGTGACCGGAAGGTCCTAGGTTCGAGTCGCGGTCTCCTCGCATTGCACAGGCGAGGGTAAGGCTTGCCACTAACACCCTTCCCCAGACCCTGCACAGAGCGGGAGCTCTCTGCACTGGGTACGCCCTTTTTTTATTGATATTCAAAATCTGCTTTCCATTACCACTGATTTGGCCCAGGAAAGTCTGTTCTCCTTTTGCATCCAGTATATGTTAGGCTGCTGAATTTCACAAACTCCTTTTATCCCCGATGCAGATTTGTCCTTGACACTTGCAAGCGCTTGAAGGAGAAGAAGTCATACCTTGTCTGGAATGCTGTTGGCTGCCTTGGTGTCACTGCTGTCACTGATCTTGTTAGAGAGGTATGCAATGCTTATGTTGAACAGCGCTGCACTACTGCTGAAAATTTATTAGAAGAAATAGTTTAACTAATAAGTGGCTTATTTCTTTTCTACTAAAGCAGTATAAATGCCATTGAATATTTGTATTTTAAGCTTTTGTTGACCTTTTGTTTTGCCTGGCACTTCAATGGTAGACCAGTATAGCAGTATTCCTATCCTTCATTGGAGATCTGTTGCCCACTGCTCTTACAAGCATCACTGCCTCGGTTATTTTTGCAGTTCCTTGGATTTGTTTGTTTTGTGTACTTGAGAGATTTGGAGTTATTTCAGGAGAATCTCTGAAAAATATTTCCATCTACATACTTGTTTTGGTGACAAATCAATTTGCAGTTAAGTTTCTATTTCATTGCTACCATGTTATGAACTCCTTAGCGTTAACATATACATATATATATATATATATATCATACTCTGTATTATGTAAAAGCAAATGTCATTAACATTCAATTTTAGGAGTTAGTATATCAATTGTTGTGTTAAAACTGGTGTTTGGTTTGTAGATGTGTAGTTTGTGATACTTATATGTTTATTCCGCCGTAGTTATCCTAAATATATTTGATTCCAGGTGGAGGCTATTCAGAAGTGTGGTGGGCAGACTATTGCTGATGGAAGCCGTTTCCGCACTGGCGGTGGAATTCTCTGGAACATCTTAAAGTCACGGGAACCCAAGGCTTACAAGGAAATAATGGCCAAGGGGAAGGAACTTGAGGTACACTTTTTTATTATTATGAAGGGATTAGTTATGTGTATGATGCCTATACTACGAAAATAACAACAAAAACAGGTACAAAGTCATTTAGTCCCAAGCAAGCTGGTGTAGGCTATAGATGAAACCTGACAAGACCCACAAAAGTGGAAAAAGAAATAACCTAGATATGCTTTAGCAATTATATACAGGAGATAAATGTAGTAACTTGTCTTTATTAAGTAATTTGTCGTTTTCCTCAACTTTCTTCTACCATTTCAAAACAACTTTGGAGTCACTGTGCATGCCCATCATTATCATAGAAACTTTGGGTATTGATTTCTTCTTTGAGGTATCACTGCCTGTGTGGACTAGAATTCAGTTCGGTATTAGATTGCTGCCTCTGTAATGAAAATAATTGAAGGAATCATTGTGAGTTTGCCACACCCCCCAATTTGTCGACGTGAAGAACTGAGAGTAAATTACTGTTCCTTTCCCTTTGTTTTCTTTTCTTCCCAAGACACTATCTTGAGCATTCTACTATCGCATTGATATTTTTCTTTGTCAGTAAATACATGTTTTGGTGATCCTTTTATTAATTCACTGGTCTTTTTTGGCATCTGTTGTATGGAATTAACTCGTATACCTATTTCCTCCTTGCAGAAGCAGTTTAGGTATACAAGACGACCACAGATTAGCAGAAATGAAGATGCAAGTTCACAGGGCAGTGCATTAATCGATGATGAAAGTGAAGCACAAGAGCAAAAGGAAATGTTGAATGATCCTGAGCAGTTGGATGATGTGGAGGAGCCACCTGCATCAGATAACAAAGCTCAACGCAAACCACTGGCGGACAGAATTCGTGCTCCTGTTGCTTATGACGATCTGTTTGAAGAGGGAGAGATACACGAAGGAGAACCACAAAGTTGAAGCATTTCAAAGGTTATGCCTCGTCACGAGTTGTGAGGCCCAAAGGAATGGCACATAATTGCAAGAGCACGAGTATGAACTAATGAACTACCACTGCAGTGTAGCTATTTTTCCCCTAAACATCATCCCCGTGATCTTGCAGCGATAGAGATTTTGTTGCTTTCAGTGAAACCAGTGTTGGGCCTGAATTCAGTGGTCAATGGAAATCGTGGTTATACAAGTTTTGGGTGTATAATGTATTTTTTTTCACCACACTATATTGAGGAAGAAAGAATAGTGCGGCTTTGCATTTACTAGCAGTCTAGCACTGTAGAATCGTCGTTAGGTTTAGTGTTGGCTCTGGCCTTGCTGGGGTAAAAATGCCAATGACATGCATTTTAAGTTGCTAGCCCTTATCCATCCTGAGTATGCTTTACGTAATACGTAGTCACAGGAAATAAAACCAAGTATAGCAATGCTCAATCTAAGGTTTCAACACCTAAGGGCCTCTTTGGAATGGAACAAAGGAATGTCCAAAGAATACAAAACAGATAAAAGATCCGAGGTTCTGAGCTCCAAACAAAGTGATCTAATAGTACTACTTGGATTCTTATGGCACTTCGAAATTCTTGCGTGAACTAGGCTTTTATTTATTTTGGAAAAGAAATAGGTGTAGCTAGTAATTTGTATATGAAGCTTCTGTAAAGAATTTGTGTCGCAATATTTGAGATTCAACTTTTGTTTACCTAATTGAAACATAAGTTCTTTTTGTGTTTGTTTTTATTAAATTTAATTGTGTTATATACTCCCCTGTCTCCTTAAAATAATATAATTCTCACTTCTCGATTAGTCAAACAATTTGAAGTTTGATAAAAGTTATATATAAGAACATAAACATTTATGATACAAATAAGCATTATTAAGTTAATTATGTAATATAATTTCCTAGTAGATCTACATGAAGATATAAATGCTAATACCACATTAAAAAATTGGTTAAACTTAAACAAGTTTGATTGGCACAGATCTTATAGTTATGTTTTTTTTACGACCAAAATTTGGACAAATCTTTTAAAATCTCGCTTTCAGCGCTGTCCCTTGACTTCAGTTCATTCTCTCATAAATTCAGGCGATTTCAGATCCTCGTGACAAATTTCCAAATTTCCCCGCTACAAATTTAGCGGCTGAAAATTAGCAGAGTAATAATAATTACTATACTAATATAATTGTATATTTCCATTTCGCAACCCCAAGTCCCCCACCGGAACTGCGAGCGCAAGAAAGGTCGAAGCGTCGTCTCTTCCGCACGGAGCCCTCGTGCCCGACCTCCTGAGATCAGAAATTCAGTAGCGAGGATGGCGACGACTGCGACTAGGCGGTGGTGGAGGCGGCACGACGGCGGCGACGATGACCCCGACGACCTCGTCCCCATGGACACCCAAGGTACGATTCAATTTGGGTACCCATTCAATTTCACGCGCGCTCACCTCCCCGTTACCCCGCCCTTGGTGTTTTAGACGCTGCTGACGCCACGAAATCGAATAATTGTTGCTGCGGCGATGCGTTTTGCAGAGCAAGAGGAGCTGGTCCGGTCGCTGGAGGCGAAGCAGGCGCAGCAGAGCCGCCGTTGGAGGGTGCGTTTCAGATTCCCGATTCCTTCGACCTGGCGTTATGGGAGGAGAGACCTTCCGTGGGCGCAGGGCTCTGGTTTGTGTCTAGATTTGACGATTTCGTGCTCACATCACCTGCTGTTTTGCGCAGCGCGTCTTCGCGGGGTTCCTCCTAGGTTACGCGGCCTTCCTTGTCTACTCCAGTTTCCACCATGCTTGGTCTCCCTGGGAGCTGGTTGGTTGCTTACTCCTATCAACTATTCTTCCGTTTATGATGTTTAGTGATCGTTTATGCCCAATTGTTGATGTACACCTGCCATCATTTGGGGCCCCAAGATAATTCAGACACTGCACAACGAGTTCCTTTTATGTTGGATTAGGATCATAAATATCAAAATCATGTTATTTTGTTCTGTACTTCTTACGCCTTCTTGCTTCCTGATAACTGAAATGCTTGCAATAAATAATTAGTCACAGATGTATGCTTGGCACTACGAAGAATCATTATTATTGGAAGAATCAAGTTTTGCTCATTGGTGTAGTTATCTATTTGCCTTAAACTGTGCTTCTCAAGTTAACAGTGGTACCATGCTTACTTCATGGAAGATTTGCCTGCACCAATGGTCATAATTGCAGGTTTGGTATCTCCTTCAACTATTTAGTTTTAGCTTGACAAGTTCTAAACAAACAATGTGTTGATGCTTCTAACTGAATTATTTTGGATCATGTTGTTATTTAGTCAAAGTTGACTAGGGTGCTTACTTACAACTTGATTTGCCACCTAAAACAATTGTGAGCTTCTCCATGTTATCAGAAGATGTATTTATGATTTATAGACCACACATATTCATTAATCATTATACTGTACAATATTGATGATCATATAGGGGTCTACTTTGCATAGTTGTGTGTGCATGCACCATATTATTCACAATGCTTATATTTCTTACCTTAGTTCTGCCAGGGCTTCCCTGATCATTTGCATCAAAAGGCTGTTTAGACTCAGCAAGTTTCATGATTACGATTTTATTTGTATGCTAATGGCTACCAGTAGATAGTTGTAACTTAGGAGTCTGAAAGAGCCTAGGGAAAGAATGGTACTGGTGCCTTACCAGTACCTGGTTGTTAGTAACTTATTCCATTTGGATTCCCGTTTTGTCCTAGGATCCCCATATAAAATGGAGAACACAGTGCTCATAGCCTGATAGGCACAAAGGCATATATATTACCTAACTCAAAATAGTTCTCCCAACACTTTGATCTGAAGATACATATATGTTAAAATAAATTGCAGATTGGATAGCTGCTCTAGCATGCCTATTTGCTGTTAAAGGGTTACTACAGAATTCAGGCCCATCAAAGAAGTGGATGTGGTATTCGTGCTATATTGGCATTTTGGTAGCCATCTTTTGGACATACTACATATTAAGGTATATCATCTCAATCAACTATTCATCTCTTTTGTCCTCCCTGAGTCAATCAAATGCTTTGCTAAAATGTTAGCATCTCGACCAATGTCTATCATGACAGTACTATTCTAGCTGTTGCAGCTACATTAACACACAGCAAGAAATTCTAGGTATTGTCTTCTTCTGACTGTTGGTATTGGTGTTGTAGGTTGCCAAGAATTCGATGGGATGTTGCATGGCTCCCACTCGGCCCTTTGATGTAAGATGGACTTGAATCTCTCTTAAATCTTCTTTCAGCAACTACTCATGAATAGTAGTTAACATAGATTTTCTTGTATATATGTGCTACTGTGCAGGGCTGGTGCATTGAGCCTTTATGTGGACCATGTGCTGCTGGAGTCGATGCAAAATATCAGCACATTGAGAAGTTACATGTATAACTTTAAGGCCTTGTAGCTATATGTGGAACAGGTTCAGGCCATTTCTCCTTTTTTAGTGGCAGAGTTGAGGAGGCACCTTGTTACATGGTGTATTAAGTATTAACATGAATTTTTAACCTCAGTGACTACTTGTGCATCCCTTTCGCTTTGTGGCGGGTGTATATACCAGCTGTGATGTCAATAGGCACCACAGCTGTTTGAAACATTCCCCTACTTCTACTGATGTTCATATTTGTATTAAAAATTGATGATTTTAGAGGGGCTACACCGCAGGGAAGGTTTTAGCTCTAGCATTGCGAATCCCCCATTATGGATTTTCATTTCAAATAATAGGATGATTTCTTTTTTTGCTTTGTGAGAGAGGATGGCCTCCTTCGCCGAGGAGTGGCGGCTGCCCGGTGATGAGGACGAGCCGTTGCCGCCCGAAGGGTATGTCGTGTCATTCGCTCACTTCCATGAGCGGGGATTCGCCATACCTGCTCACCCGTTCCTTCGGGGGCTGTTGGATTACTACCAGGTGGAGCTGCAGCACCTTACCCCCAACAGGATCTAGCACATTGCGGCGTTCGTCGCCCTGTGCGAGGGGTACTTGGGGATTGATCCCCACTTCGACCTGTGGCGGCATATCTTCGCCGTCAATCTTCTGAAGAGGCGGGTCGGGAAGCAAGAGCTGCACGCGCCGGTGGGATGCGCCGGCATTCACCTCCGCAACAACCGGGCAGAAGCGTACCCGTTAATGCGTCTGTCGACCTCCAACAAGGGGTGACATTCGCAATGGTTCTATGTCAAGGATGACGCCGTCGCCCCCTTGCCAGTCTTCTCCGGGCGCGTCATCCAGGAGGCCCCGGGGCCATGGAGGTGGGGCGTCCCGGTCAAGGAGAAGAAGAACATCAACGACCTCCTCGCTGCCCTCCAATTTTTGAAGGACAGGGGCATGAAGGGATCGGGGATCATTGGCGCCTACCATGCGAGGAGGGTGGCGCCGCTGATGGCGCGCGTGCTTCCCCTGCACCAGATGGCGCCCGGAGCGTCGTTCGAAGGGACGGTGCTTGTCGATGAGGCGCTCCCTCCCTCCGAAGTGGCGCAGCGCATCAAGGAGGCGATGGAGCCTTCGAAGGACACCGCTGGCGTCGTCCTTGATTTTGTGTTTCCGGTGCTGGGGCATCCTTCAATGCGGCCGGAACCGGGGTTTATTGACTTTGTAAGTTTTCTTTCCCCGTACTCCTTTTTTACTTGACTTTCCGACCCCTTGACGCTGACCCTGGGATGGCGGGACCAGCCGAGGCCACTATTCTTCAAGGAAAGCCCGGCTCCGTTGTCGAAGGATCGGACCCTGGCGAAAGCGAACCGCATCGCGGCCGAGTGGGACAAGACGAGGGAGCTCAGGAAGAAGGAGATGATATGGAAGCAGCAAACACGAGATCGAGGAGAGGAGACAGGCGGTGACGACGACGACGATGATGACGACGACGACGAGTTTGACGAGGCAGCAGCCGACGTGGATTGGGGTGTCCTGGAGGGCGAGGATTCGCTGTCAGGCACCCAAATGTCCACGCAGGGACCCTTCCCGTTCCACGCGGGGGAAGTGAGTCCGTGAGGCCGGCGGAGCCGGGCCCGTCTTTGGGTCCGGTGGGAGCCGGTGGATCCGCCGCCACACTCGGGGTGCCGGCGGAGGATCGGTGGATGGGAGGAGGCGGAGCTGCCGCCGCCCCCGAGGTGCTGATGGAGGGGGCGGCTTCGATGCCGCGTCCCACAAGCTGATGGAGGGGGCTGGCGCTGTCGCCGCGCCCTCGGAGACAAGGGAGACGAGCCCCCCTGCCCGGGAGCAGGGGGCAGGCTCGAAACGGTCGCGCCTAGACACGTTGGAGCAGGGGTCCGGGGGTTCGTCCCCAAAACGTACCCGCTGCCCAAAGGCGCCAGAGTAGGCCACTGATTCCCTTGTTTTTCCTCCCTTTTTATTTTTCCGTTTTGACCTTGTGCCTTTTACCCCTTGCAGATTCTTGCGACGGGGTCGCTCTCTGGGGTTGGCGCCCAAGAAGAGCCTTGCCCTTCAGGCGGGACGGACACCGTTGCCCGACATCGCTCCTGTTTCGGGCAGGAGCAGTGCCGATGTTGCGGCCTCGTTGGTCGGTCAGGTGCCGCCTGTGGCGACGCCCCGCCCTCGGCGGGTCAAGCAGGCGCCGGGGCTGAAGAAACGCCCTCGGGGTTCGCCGAGGAGATGACGGCGGAGGTGACGACGCTACCCACATTGGAGCGGACGGGGCTGCCGCCCGCGCTTGTGGCGCCCTCTGCGGTGGGCGCGACGCCGCAAGTCGAGCCCCCGGCGTCGCTAGCGGAGGCGGCTGCGACCGCGCCAGGTCAGGAGCAGCCGGACACAGCCACGGTGGCGTCCGAGGGGGCGGCGCAATTCGTGCCTCCGGCGGCCCAGGCGACGGAGCCCGAGGTGGGCCGGACGGAGTGTCCTCGGGCGCCGTGGCGGTGGTGGAGAGCACCAGCGGGGGTCTCCCTCGGCCCTGATGTCGAGGGGCAGCCGCTCCGGTGGATGGCTGCTCAGGACCCGACGTCGGCTCTCTTCTCGCTTGACGATGCTGCCGAGAGCATGGAGCGGGAGAATCTTGACATCGGGTTCTCGGCTATGATGGATGCCTTGAGCCAGGCCAGGGGCGTCCTGCGCGAAATCATCGTTCCTACTGGTCGGGTATCCGCTTAATCTTCTCCCTCGCTTTCTTCTTTCTTCACGTATTTTTGTGTTTTTGTATTTTTGATACCGGTCTTGTTTTCAGTGTCTCGTTGCTCGTAGCCGAAAAAAATCCCGGTTTCTCCGCGAGCAAAAGGCGGAATGGGACCGCCTTACCGAGGAGGCTCGGCTGCGAGGAGATGTGGGCGCGTAGCTTGCTGCCGCCCAGCAGCGGGAGGCCGAGGCGCGTCGGGACGCGGATGAGATCCATGGGATGTTCGAGGACCTGTCGGCGAGGGTGAAGCAGGACGAGGAGGCGGCCGCCAGGGTCCAAAAGGAGTGGGACGAGCTGCTCCAGAAGGACGCCGATGCCAGCCAGCGGGCTGCCGAGCTCCTGGCGGAGCTGGAGACGGAGCAGGACCTCAAGCTGAAGGCCGAGGACAGGTCCGTGGTGCTGTAGCGGAGGGTGGATCAGGATGCCGAGGAGATTGCCCGGCTGCACAGGAAGCAAGAGGAGCTGCTCCAGACTGCAGAAAGGCTTCGCTCGGAGCGCGGCACGTTCCGTGAGGAGCGCAACCGGGCCATTCGAGAGCACGATGAGGCGTATCAGGTGGTCAACTCCCTCCGGGCGGACCTTGGAGCCGCGGTGACCCGAAGGTTGGAAGCCGAGAGCATCTCTGCCAGACTGGGCAAGGAGCTTGCCGAAGTGCGGGGGATCTTTCAAGCCGAGAGTGACGAGCACGATCTTTTGCGCGCCACCGTCGGGGTGGTCTTCGACGACATGAGGGTGGCGCAGCGGGAGGGAACCAGCTCGCTCGCGGCTCGTGCCGCGGGTATCACGGCGCGGGTGGGCCAACTTAAGGAGGACGCCTTCCACGCCGGGATCACCCAAGCCTTCACTGTCGCCCGCTCTCATTATGATCGGGAGATCAACCTGGAGGTAATGAGCCAAGGCTTCACGCTTGGTTATGAAGACCCCGAGCTGGACGAGATTGAGAAGGCGGTGACTCCCCTTGCGCTGAACCTGGCGAACGTTCTGAAAGGAATGGTTCTCCCTTCGCGGAAGTAGTTAGTTGAATAAGTTTGAAAACATTTACCTGTAATATGTGAACAAGTGTCAGTACTTTCGTGTCTGAAAACAGATTCGTGACTTTGTTTCGCAATTTCGTTTCGTTTGTTTGATCTTACCTTCTTCCCTTTCGGGCTCCTTCCCTTGGGTCGCCGTAGGTGCGCCTGCGTGCGTCGCGGTTGTGGCCGAGACGTAGATGCACCGGGGTCACGGTGCGCTGCCCGCCGTCTTGCGGTGCTTGGTGGACTGACGCGTCCCTAGCGGGGCGCACCGAGGGCGTACGCTGGCTAGTGTCGAGCTCGCGTCGCCGAGACAGCGAGCTCTCCGCCTGCTGCGCCGCCGCACGCTCAAGTAGCGTGCGAATTTCGCGGTGGACCCGACGATCCTCGGGTGTTGCGGCCTCTGTGAGGCCATGAAGTAAGGCCGTTGCGGCGGCGATGTTCTGGCTTGCCTGAGCGAAGTGAGGAAGGGTATCACCGTCGGCGATGATCCTTCGGCTCACGTCGCGGGCTACGGCACGTGCGTGCCCACCGTCTCCACGGCGTTTGATTTCCTCATCGACCTTCCTGTACTCCCGAACAAGCTGTTGTCCGGCTTCGTCTATTTCTTGCTTTCGGGCTCTCAGCTGCTCCACCCTACGTGAGGTGGGGCTGCTGTCCCCCTTTCGGCTGCGCCGCCGGGGTTGCCTGCCGGGCTGACCTCCTCGGAGGCGCTTTCAACGTGTCCCTCGGAGGTTTCCGCCATGAAGCATTCCCGGGAGGGATGATGGCTCCCCCTGCCGGAGTCAGAGCCAGAGTCCGACTCTGGACCCTCCGCGAGGAGGCCGTGGAGGGATTCTATGACGCTTTCGATCATCCCTACGAACTCGTTGTTCGTGGGGGACGGGATCGCGCGCTGGGCCACAAGGTGGCTTACGGTCGCCGCGGCGTTGCGGAGACCGAATGGAAACGCCGTCGAGACGCTCCGTGCGGAGCGTTCCGGAGAGAGGGTGAGGCGGCGTGGGGCCTCCCTGGACGGCTGGGGTCCAAGGGAGACGCTGGGCTGGTACTCAAGCCTCCGGTAACCGAAGCCGATGGAGGGGAGAGATTGGATGGTGAGATAGGCCAACGCCAACTCTCCTCCCACCGTGACGATGAAGTCCAGGTCACCGAAATGCACATGTGCGCCTGGGACTCAGCAGATTGCGTGGTTAGCCATCCGAGGCCTGATTTGGAACGCCCAAAGACCCCTACCTGGCACGCCAACTGTCGGTGTTTCGAACAAACACCGGCTAGTAAATTTATAATTATTGCGCGTTAGGCACTGAATGACACAAGGTTTATACTGGTTCGGGCTGAATGTCCCTACGTCCAGTCTGCTACTGCTCGTGTTATTAGTACCGAAAAAGGTTCGTAGTAGGGGGTACAAACGGTCGAGAGAGGGAAAGGTCCCAAGTCTCTGATGGGGTGGTCGAAGGGATGCCAAGAGCTTGATTGCTGCTTGGTTGTATGCGTGATGTGTTGTATCTGTTGAACTGATCTCTCAAAAAGTCTGTCCCCTTAGCGGGGTGCCCTGCCCTCCCTTTTATAGACCAAGGGGGAAACAGGGGTTACAGGCGGGAGAAAGAGGAAAAAACCAAAGGTGGAGAAAGTCCTTCGAGGGGACCGGGCCTTTCTTCTCCATGCGCCTGTCCTGCTAACATGGCAGACCGTGTCAGGAATGGCATGTTCGTCGATCTTTATGGGGCCATGCCCTGGCCTCTCTCAGCAAATGGGTGCGTCCCATCCTACACCGGCGGGCGGTGCAGCGTGCCAGAGAGCCGAGCCTTGACCATTTGGAGAATAGGCGAGGAAATGACCATACGTTGGTCACTGTAGGTGATGAGTTCTTCCTTGGATTGTAGCGGTTGTCGTATGCCTGTGTTAGTATCCGCGCCCGAGGGCTGAAGGCGGCGCCTACTGTACTGTGGGACAAAAGTCGACGCCTACAACACTATTCGGACACTGTTATGTCGGAAAGGGCTTAAAGCGCCCGTCCCATCGTATCCTGTCGGTGCCTTCCTGCAGGCGCGCAGGGCATGGCCCTCGATACTGCGGTTGACTCGAATGTCCTGTCGTACCCTGTGCTCGTCATAATGAAGGAGCAGGGTGTAATCGTCGGGCGAGGAGCCAGCCCTCGGGGGTCGGGCGAGGCGGAACCAGCCCTTAGCCGTTGTTCGAGGCGGAGCCCGCCCTCGGCCGTCGGGCGAGGCGGAGCCTGCCCTCAGACGTCGGGCGAGGCGGAACCAGTCTTCCGTCGTTTGGACAAGAAGCGCAGTAGCGTTCTCGTCTGATCGGAAGTGTCAACGTTCGGTGGTCATTAGTTCCACCTCATTAGGTACCCCGGTCCCCGACACATATCAAAATGGATGAACCAAAAAGTCAAAGCGACTTATAATTTGGAACGGATGGAGTATTTGTGTCTTGTTGACATTCTCAGTGGCCCTTATCTTCTTGTTTCTGCAGATGGTTATGCATTTAGTATCATGATTTCAGCATTACACAGAGGTGGTCATCACGAAGAATCAAAACAGCTTGCAAAAGAATTTGAGTCTGAGAATGCATCATATGATCTGGTTATGCTTAATACATCACTGCGGACTTACTGCAACACAAATGATATGGAGAGTGTAATGAGGATGCTAAAGAAAATGGATGAATTGAACATATCACCTGATAATATTACATTTAATACCTTGATAAGGTACTTCTTCAATTCAAAGGTTTATCACCTAGCATACAAAACAGCTGAAGATATGCATACAAAGGGTCATCAATTAAATGAGGTATTTGGTTCTCGCAAATCATTTGTGAGTTCTATCATGGATCAAACCTCAGCTATCACATCCTTGTTACTCTGTCCATTCTTGATTAGAATCATAACTTTGTTTATTTTCTTTGCATTATTCCATTTGCTCATATTGTATTCCACATGGGGTTATAGTTCCGATTTTATTGGGCAGATTAAGTGGGAATGCAACAAAATGATAGGTTTATATGGTTTTTGTAGTTTGATTGGTTAATTCTGTTGTCATCATAGTATAGCTTGAGCTTGGTCGAATAGTTCCATGTTATCGTATGTTTGACCATTTACCATTGCTGACTGAACCATTGAATCAGAATGAGTATGCCTCTTGTTGTGAGTTATGACACCCTTTTAGAAGAGGGTGATGATTGCACAACCTCCTATAATATACTTTAACTCAACCTTTTATTGCAGAAAACCTATATGTAGTTGATAAAAAAAAAATCTGTATATCTTTTCCAGGAGCTTTGTTCTCATGTAATGGTTCAGTTAGGAAAGACAGGTTTTCCTTCTGAAGCATTTTCTGTGTATAATATGTTGACATACAGTAAAAGAACAGTACACAAATCTCTGCATGAGAAGGCCTTAGGCATCTTAGTTGCAGCAGAACTTCTCAAGGAAGCTTATATAGTTGTTAAGGTAATAAAATTCTACTGCTTTTGCATTTGCTACTGCAATCTCTTTTGTTTGTTTTCTGTGTCCCCACTAAGCAAATCAAATTGACAGGACAATGCTGATCTGATATCTCCTTCTTCTTTGGAGAAGTTTGCTAAATCTTTCATGGTATTAGGCAATATAAATCTAATTAATGATGTCATGAAAGCCCTAAACCGCTCCGGGTGGCGTATCAGCCAGGTGATGGTTCTGTACCTGTAGTGTCCTTTGATACCTGTTTTAAATTTAATGCAGATTTCAAAATGGTGTAATACTAGATGGTTTGTTCTGAAACTCTGAACTATACTAAAAAACAAAAAAATTAAGTTAACTAGAGGCTTATGCCATCGGATACTCTGAAATCACAATTACTCCTTCCATCCACAAAAGGATGCAATTCTCGCATTTCGAGGAGTCAAACAATCTAAACTTTGACTGGAATTATATAAAAATGTACTATCACTCGTGAAACAAAATAAGTACCATTAGATTAGTTATTATTATAGAATATATTTTCATAATAAATTTATTTGGAGACATAAATGCTAATACTATTTACTCTAAACTTGGTCAAACTTAAGCTAGTTTGACCGGCACGTTTCCCATAATTGCATTCTTTTGTGGATGGAGGGAGTACATGTCAAGCGTGTAATTACCATGGTACTATATCTTCTGATGTTCATGGATTGATAAATGTAATGGTTAAACCTTGCACATTTCCAGTCATGACTTCTGAGTAGTGAGCGCCTGCACAAACATATGTGGACTCCAATATTTATTTCTAACTCATATGTCGGAACTCAGGATTCTTGTTTACATACAATCTATCTTCCTTTAACTTTTATCAGACTTATGAAACTTTTTCAGTGCGACAAAGGCACTTCCATGGCAATTAGCGATAACTGGACCGTATCCATTGGATTTGAGTTTCATTTTTTTTAAAAGAAAACTTGTTTTTGGGTGCCTTGTTTGTAATAAAATGCCTATATACGTAAGAAATGATGAAACGGTGTCACTCTGGCGCTGAAGTGGTTTTTACATGTTTCTGCAACCTGCTTTCAGCAGATCTTTATCTGTGGGAATGGAGCAGTATCCCCAAGTTTCTACTGCAGAAACTAAAGTAACTACAAGGCTTCCTATATTCTCAACTTAATCAGGCTTAGTGATATCATTGTTGCTCTGGCACTGACATGTTCATAAGGTTGCTGCGAATGGGGGTCTAAGAAACCAGAGTAATAAGATCTCAGAACCAGGATTAAAAAACATTAGCATGCCACTTGCAAGTAACTAGGTGGTTTTGAGAACAACTGGCGCGCGTTGGGTTTGGCTGAAAACAATGATGACTAAGAATTTGCTTGCCACCTCTTTCTAAAATATCATACATAAGAATTTGTTTCTATAGACTTCACCACAATGTTCAGTACATGTTCTCTTTTTTGGTTTTCTTCTGGTAGCCTGCATTTACTGGTTGATCAACAGCCGGCCTATACCTTTTTCTCCCAGGCTAATTGTGTTCATCAGGACCAGTTGGAAACTTGTTTTGTGACCTGTATAAGTTTCCAGGTGAAGCTGAGGATTTAATTCTAGTAGACTAAATAGGTTAGTGAAACTTTTAGTGAAGGTACAGTTAGTTGCAGCTGCCATATTTTAGTGTCATTTCCCAGATCGGCAGATCCACATTCCATATCGAAAGTTGAATCTGCATTTCATCATCTAGATGGAAGAATCCTCCTATCTGCTCTCTTGGCCGCCATTGGCTCCTTTATGACCGGGCCAAATTGATGACCAGAGAGGATATCGTCAAACGCTGTGAAGGCCCACCACAATCTAGTGGCTCGGACTGAATTCTTTTCCTGTGACCACAAGTTTGCTGGCCTTATGGGCATTCCCTGTGCTTGCTGCTTCCTGCCTAAAATCATCTTGTTCTGATTTCTTATATGATCTAGAAAAACGTGTGGCTGGTTTAGACTTTGCATGGTGTATTCTCTACTTATTTTGTTTCATTTCTTCAATAGAATAAACAATCTTAATTTTGGACAAGAGAGATTGATGATGGCTTTCTTTTCCGATGCGTTCCTGACAGTAGAAATGCAGTGATTAGCTTTTGAGGAAATTTTTTATGATGGTGCAATTTTATTTCTACTACCAGTCTGATATGAACTGTTCTGATAGATCTATTACTCTGTATTTTGTTGAATTTGATTTCTTCACTAAATCTTGTTATGTGCTCATACCTGAAGCCTCATTTTCATGATAATTTTGTGATAATCTTCTTACTCCCAGAATCGCTGGTCTTGTCCACTGCAAAATTTCCTTGTTCATGCTTTGGGTGTCATTCCCCTGGTCCCTGATTTGGGCCTGATACTGTCAAGCTTTTGGACTTCGGGATTGGCTTGGGCAGTACCAGGCTTTGTCAGGCCTGTCCTTTCCCCACATATGAACAGCTATAGCAAGCATGCTAACTTAAACTTCCCTCCAACACTGAACACAACCATTGCATTTGCAGGACATCTTTGGGAGCAATCAAGAGATACATCCGGAAGCCTGATAAGAAGCAGCTGCTGCTGTGCCTCTTGGACTGGATGATTGGGCAAGGCTATTCTGTAGACTCGTCATCAAGGAACTTGCTTTTGAAGAATGCACAACTTTTTGGCCAAAAACAAATTATAGCAGAAATCCTTTCTAAGCAGCAGACAGCATCAAGGACTATTGGCCAAAGACACAAAAAATGATAAAGGAAAGATTCTGTATATATAAGCTGTTCATATCCATCCAGGTACCTCCTTTGATAAGCCATGATTGTTTGAGGATCAATTTACTGTGCTCTGAGGTATCAGTAAGAGACAAGATATCAGTTATCACCCTCATGTGCAGATATGCCTAGGCTGCAAACCAACTTTTATTAGGATTTCAGATTATGGTATGTGGTATATGTTGAATCCACTTGAGTTCTCTAACATATCATGGCTAAACTTACGTAATGTCTGTTGTGGCCAGGAACTTTCACTGGAGACATACTTCTTCCAGTAGCAGTACAGCTGGGAGTGGATTACCACCATTCTTGCAATGACATGTGTGTTAGATTATGTGTTGTCTGGAGGCTTACAGTAAGTTTTCAATACATTTCCATACAGCTAAGTCAGAGACAATTTGATTTGATTTTGGAGGATTTTGCATATGGCATTCAACCTGGTTTAGGTCACTGTACCTAGACAGCAGCATACAGATTTAATTTTGTTGACAATTGTACAAGTTATTGTGTGCGTCTTGAACATGCACTGCACTTAACAGTTTCCTGAGCAATGAATGTAAGAAGGGTTACCAGACGTTCCAATGCAGCGAAAAGTTGTTTTTCTTTTACTATACTAGCACTAAACTTTTTGAACTGAAACCAAATAAGCATGCTTTGATCAAACTCTGAAACACACTTTATTCTGAACATGACCTGTCATCTGCTTGCTGCCTTGTTACACTGGCCAATCATATCCCAATGAAAGGTTGATAAAAGCACACACATATTCCTAAAAAAGAATAATAAGAATCAAAAGACAAATGAAGGATAGAAGAAAATAAACATCTTGGCCATCCAAAATTCCAAAGATAGGAACATGTGCTGCACCGATCCAATGCACTGTGTTTTTGCGAAGTAAAAGACCAGTTCCTGCATAGATTGCATCTCACGGGAAGCTATGTCAGCTAATATTAAATAGTTAATAATTGCACGATATTTTTCAGAACTATAAATTCTGATTGTAAGCAGCACAAGCTGCGATCCATTATTAAACTAGTGTTCTGTCTGTTTACAAATATATAAAAATGAACTAATTAGCTTGTCCTAAACGTCGTATATTTTAAAAACAGAGGGATTACTTAATTAGTTTGAAGAAAAGAGGTTGCTTTGAAGATTGATTTTGTACATACGGGCAGGGTATCGACATGTGTGTTTTTTGTCCTAAAAAGTGAGGAAATATGTTTGTAACCTGTTTTCTTTTTAGGAAAACTGGATAACATACTATTATGCCTTTATGCAACAAAATTTGGAACAGTTTTGTATCCTTTTTAGAGGATGAATTGTTATTACAGCCCTGTTATTGCAGAATTATCATGTGAAACTACGAACTAGCCTCTGAAACTCCTTTTCTTTTGCAGCCCAGGTAAATTATAGCCATGCTGAGACATTCAATGTTTATCTGTTATCTCTATTGAAAGGCTTGAAGTTATTTGTCTTCATCACTAAATTGGTGCCAGTGGTGAGAGTTGTCTCACTGAGTCACCAGGTCGCGGGTTCGAAGCAGTCTCTCCGCATATTTTGCGGGGGGAGGCTTGCCTCGGTTTTTCCCTTCCCCAGACCCCACTCATGTGGGAGCCTCCGGCACTGGGTCTGCCCTTTTTTACTAAATTGGTGCCAGTGTTGAGGTGAACTTGGAGAAAGAATCGTGCTTTAGTCTGACAAAAATTATTTGCTGATGGTTATATAGGATGTCCTTTTTAGAGTTGCGTCTATGGTACGGACTGATAAACAGTGACATGAACAGATAGCTGCTGTACAATATTTTAGCTTTGAGGCAGAGAGCCTGAGTATTTTTCTTATGCTAGGCGTCAGTTTTGTCTTTGAGATATTTGGTTTGAGCTTAGCTGAATGGTGGGGACTCTATGATTGAACTTACACTAACCACCACCAGCCGCAGGATCTTTTCAATAAATATCGTCCAATAAGTTTTGAGTCCACATATATTCGAACACATAAGATTCCTTCGCGTACAGTTTTGACCAGTTTTGCAGAATCTTGTTGCATGTCTAGCCTTCATAATTATGTGCCCATCTATTTGTCCTTTTATCTCCTTGAATTGTTGATGAAACCTGGTAGCATGCGGTCCTCTTCGTCGCATGTAGTACCGAAGGGGGTTCATTGCATCCAGACATTTTTGCAGTGCAGAAAGTTGTCATACTCGGCTATATTCATTGAGTTGGACATGTTTTCCCTTGTTCCAGGCGACAAGACTTTCAGGTACCAAAGCATATCATAATGGGTTCCTATCAATTTTCCTATGCTGTAGTCATTCTGTTCCAAAAAAAAATCAAGCAGCACATATGAGGTGCACGATAAGAAAATCAAGCTAACAAAATTTAGAGGAGCAACATTTTTTCCCCTGAAATTATATGGTGCATGTCAAATTCTTTTTTGCTATTGTTTGGTCTGTGCAGTTAAATTTAACTCTGAG